TGCATAATAGCCAAAACTGAAAATAGCCCAGATATTGATTGATAGGAATATAGATAATTATTAAATATTTGTATGTTTATAACAGAATACTACTCATTGATGGAAAGGTATAAACTCCTACAACATGGATAATTTTAAAAAGTATTATTCTGAGTGACAGAAACCTTAATAAAAGAGCACTAATGTATGATTTCATATATATGAAGTTTTAGAGAAGTAAAAACTAAGCAAAATGCAGTGTTGAAATATAGTTTGAATGAAAAATAAATCCTTGTAAGAAACAGATTCTTGGGTGGTTAGTTGTACAGCAAGGTTACAGCTAGGAAACAGATTTTTAAGTATAAAATAACATGTAGAACTCTAGATTTAAAATTTAGAAGAATAAAGAATAATTTCTGGAAAAAATCTGAAATGATGAAAGAAGAAGTAAAAAACATAAATAAGCAGAGTTTATAAAAGCTCTTTGAAAAATACAAACGAATTATCTCTGAAAGATTAGTTGGCCCAAATGGTTTTATAAATTAATTCATTTTGGTCCTTCAAAGAAGAGATAATACCAAAAAGACATATACACAGTAGTCAACAATTTAGTAAAACACACAACCTTCCCAATGTATTCTGTAAAATCAGCATAGCCATAAAAACAACACCCAACAAAATTATCGAACTCAAAAGAGGAAGTCATTTAAAAAAACCAGTTACGGATGGAAATGCTACATGCTGCATTCAGTGTTGTCATTTGATATCACTATTATTTCCCTTCAAGATGGACTTGACATTTCCAATAATCTGACTCTTAAGGTTTTCAATAAGAGAGACAGACATAAAGTGGAAGCCAGTGCTCTCAGAAGCTCACAGAGCCAGATGCAGTGGCTTCCTGGAATTGCCTGGGAGATGGTAATCTCCACCAGCTACATTGCTTGAAGCTGAAGTTGTTAGTGAATGCTTCTCTGATTCTCTGTCTCTAATGTTCTAGACCTTTACTCCCTGCTTCAATTCATTTTGAATTTTTAAACTTATATTACCTATACTAAATATCATATTCCTATAATATTTATAATGGTTCTGCTCTACTGACAAAATCAAAACTGATAAAAATGTTCATATCAGAGTGGTATCATCTAGATATAGTGGAATCTTTGTCTGTTTTGGTTACTGTTATATCTCAAGCACCTAGAAGTGTGCCTGTTTTTTGTAAGTGTCCAATAAATATTTGAACAAAATAATTCATGGTTTAAAAATATAGTAAAATCAAATGAAAAGGAGTTTTTTTTTAGTATGATAAATATGCCAAAAAACCCACTTCAGTATGAAGAATGGTTTTCAGTTATCACAAATTGTTCAGCTGGACCCATTGAATATTGAAATATTTTTATATACTGTTGTAAAGATACCTGTGCCCTGAGTCCTACAAGTACCTTCTTCCTGCTACCTCAGTCACCCTGGCTCCCTTCTGGGTCCCTGGTCCTCTCCATGATCAGTTTCCTTTAGAAATTATAGTTTTTGGTTATTAAAATTAAGTATTTTAATATCACCAATATTTGAGTCAAATATGAAAAAATACGTAAGCAAGTGATATCACCCGAGAATATGGAGAGAAAAAGGACACAAGGACCAGGGATAGAGCCCTAAAGCCATCAACATTTAGTAAGAGAATATACAGAACATGGGTAAAGAGTTACTAAATGTGTTGGAGGAAAACTGTAAGCATTTACTTTTATAAATGTCAGAGGAAAAAGAACCTTTTATCTGTCATGCTTTCCTCAAATGATTTTTGAAATTGTTGAAATAATACTGTTGGGAGTTTGTAAACCATTCTGAATGACTTGATTTCTTTTGACATTTGTCAATTTAGTTAACCCATCCTCTACCTATAAAGAGGTCAGATAATCTAAGTAATTGCTTTGCTTCTACCTCTCAGCTCTTCATCAGTCATAGATATGTAGGTTGAACAGAATATTCAGTAGATGTTTGGGGAATGTGCAGACTTTGGTTTCATAAAAATTTTGAAACTATATATCAAGTAATGTTTGATATGGTGGATTTTATAACAAAAATTTGTTAGAATAAAAAATAATTTTCATAATATTCTGCATATATAACAATATAGAAAAATGAATTAATATAATCTCATAATGGGAGTTGATTTCAATATTTTTCTTTAGTATTTAGGTTTTAAAATATTTTTGTAAGTCTTTGAATATTTTTTAAAATTCTAGTGTTATAGCTTTGGGAATTTTTGCATAATATTGTCATTTTGAGGGATTTGGTACTTAAAAGTAGGTCTTAAATTCAGAAAGTAGTTTAGATAAGGGTCGGTTATTTTTCTTACAGTGTCTAACAGATGCCTCTGACTGGGTGAACTCACACAACCAAAATCTCAAGTGTTTTCTTTTGCAATGTGTGGCCAATAACTACTTACATCACGGGGTTGGTATAAGGATTAAGAAAAATAAGGCATACAAATTATTCTACACATTGCAAAGGTGCAGACTTAACATGGACTCAATATCTGTTAATAACATAAAAAGTATACTGTGGCCAAAAGACCAATCTTCTTTTCCTCACAGGCTGAAATCTTCGAAGTTCTGCTCTTCTCCTTCAGTGTACTGCCGCTTCCTCTCACAGGAAAACCATGTGCTCACTTTTCCACTGTGTGACAGAGAAAGTACTCGATAACCATTAGCTAAAAGATAGCAATTAGATATTATATTTTTGAAGGGTCTTTATTATTAAAATTTAATGATGGATTTTTTTTTACTTCTGTACTGGGGTTGTCAGACTTTCCTTTTGGGGTCTTTCTACACACACTCCTTATTTTCAAAGGTAACTAGCCCTTGCGTTAATTCTCAATTTTCCTCCTGTTAAAAATCTACAAATTCACAAGACACCATGAAAAAATATGAACTCTGAAGCCTGACAGATCTGGGTTCAAATCTCCATTTTCTCATTGAAATAGCTGTGTGAATTTTTGCAATTTTTCCCTATCACCTCTGCATAATCTCTCTCTCTTTTTAAAAGATTTTATTTATTTATTTTTAGAGAGGGAAGGGAGGGAGATAGAGAGAGAAACATCAATGTGTGGTTGCTGGGGGTCATAGCCTGCAAACCAGACATGTATCCTGACTGGGAATCCAACCTGCGACACTTTGGTTCGCAGCCCGCGCTCAATCCACTGAGCTACGCCAGCCAGAGCCCTGTATAATCTCTAAATTAGGAAAAAACACCTCATTAATTAATTGAGAAGATTAAATAAACCATTTTAAAACCCTAGGTACTTAGTGGGAAACTCAGTAGCTGCTTTCTCTTATTTCTCCTCATTGGCATCCAAACATAAATTAGTATTGGTCATTTTTAAGAGCACCACTACGTAAATACTTTGTGATATGGGGCTTCTTACATGCATTTGAGATAGGTATTAAATATCAGTGCAAAAGAGTGAGGGTGGAGTAGTTGCAGGCATGTAGGCTTTCTCAGTACTACTGTAAACTATTCCTGCAGGCATGCAGAAAACTTTGTTTTCCACAGAAAAACTTAATCCTGATTATGGAGGACATACCTCTACTTATTTTCTTAATTTCTTCTTGGCATTGGTACTAAGTTGTTATCGGTATTATTTTCTCTATATCCAAATTCCTATATATATCATATATATATGATATATATCAACATAAATATTTGCCATCACCAATATGTGAATAAAAAGCAAATTTTGCATTATGTTTTGTAAGAGGTTTATTTTAACTTACTATTTTCCTGTGAGGCATCTATCAGAGTATTTTTACCCATGGCAAGGCAAGGGCATCCAGGGGATCAAAACTAATTTAATTTTAAAAAACCCTATTTTAAAAGTCGGACTGGAAGAGACAGAAAAAAACTCTCTTGGCTGCCTTGAAAACTAAGGATTAGTAGCAGTGTTCTGACCTGAAATTTAGGTCTTGTGATTTCTTTCCAGAAGATTTTTCACTGCATAAAAAACATGTCTGCAATGACCTTATTATTTAATTCAATCTTAATTGGATACAAACCATTAAAGTCTGTGAGATTGTTGGAAGGTATTTTAAAAATGGTAATATTAATTATCTGAAAGTGAGAAATATCCTTTACCAAGTCACTGAACCTTTCTCCTATATGTTTTAGGTTCACTTTGCATTTCTTTCAAGTTTTGAGTTTCCAGGATATGAAATTTAATCGCTGGAGCATATGCCATATTTAGGGGAAGATTCAGCCATTTTCAAAAGGAGGCTAAGCTTTGTTCTCAGTGAGGTGTATTTTAGGAATTCTCCACGTGGCTTAATTATGATTCTGTTTCGATTGCTACAAGAGGTAAGTCAGCCATAAGACCTTGTAGTGAGACCCCTTGGAGAAGAGTTGGAAGCTAATGGACCAACATAAGGTGAGGACCAGCTTCAGCGACAGCCTTTCCTAGCCTGTCAGAATCACTGAGCGGTCGTAGGCCACGATTTGCAGGAGGAACAGATGCCCAGAGAGCTTTTCTTTTGCAATCGATGTACCTGTAAATGGCTGGCTTGGAGAAAAAGCTAGGAAACCGGTTCTTTGAGTCACACACTTCTAATCCCATTAACGACTCTCAGAGAATATTCAGAGTGAACGGTAGGACCATTTCTATTGTTATTCTCGGTGAGACAAAGGCGGGGTCGGGCAGCCAGTGCCCACCCTTTGGAATGGGTTGGGGAGGACGGAATGGCTAGCGGATTTGTTTTGTTTGGCGTCAGGGCGGGCTTCCCGGTACCCTCCAGTCCCCGTGGGCCTGCCGGAGCGCGGTGGGGCAGCCGCAGCGGACACTGCGTCAGGGGGCCGTGGGGCTGGGCGGTGCGGCGCCCGGCTCCGAGACCCGGCTCCCTCCCCCGCACCACCCGCAGCACCCCCCTCCCCGCAGCCTGCGGGCGGCCGCAGCACAGGCGGGCCGGGCACGTGGGCGCCTCCGTCACACCCTCACTCACACTCACACACAACCGCGCTGCACTCGTGCTCCGTCCCTGGCCAGAACACAGGCTCCTGCTCGTCCCTCCGTGGCATCCCGCTGGGCAGCGACCATTCCACCCACCCCGGGGAGCCGCCCTTGGCAGACAGCTGCTTCTGTCCCGACCGCTCCTTCAAGGCCTCGATCAGAGCCCCTGGACCCGACCCGCTAGCTGCGGCTACTCCCGTCAGACGCGGGTCGGCTGGAGGAGCGGGTCAGGCAAGCAAACGGTAACGACTCGCCCCTATCGCCCAGGGCGCGGTTTCGGTGGGGTGGGCTTACCCCCAGCCAGCCGGGGGGCCCGGGCACAGGGGGTCAGAGCGGAATCGCGGTCTAGATCCAGGGAAGGACTCCGGCTGTGTCCTGAGGTAGGGGCCGGGAGGGAGACTCCGAAAAGCTGGGCTCCGCGGGAAACACTCCGGTCCACGCGGCCCGCACCGGCGCACAGCAGGGGGCAGGGAGGGGGCGAGGAGAGGCGCGTAGGGAGAAGCACAGGGGTCGAAACGTGCCGCCACCCTTCGTCCCTTCTCGCGGTGGAAACTGCCCGCAGCATCCCCGTAAGACTGGCCGTTTCCAAGTCCAGCCCGGGGAGGCCGAAGGGTGGGGTCCGACCGGGGCGGTCCGAGAGGAAAGTTGGGAGGGTCGACACGGCGAGACGCTTCTGGGGTTCCAGCCAAGTTGGAAACCCGTCCTTCTGCGGGTGGGAGGCGGGGCGGGGAGAGGAGCAGTCTCGTTCCTCACGCGCTTCTGGTTGCTTTTGCAAGTGCCTGGGGGCGACCACCGCAGGCGGTGTGTTTTCACGTGACCCCAATTCCCTTTTGCCGGAGCTATCCTGCGATAAATGTTTCTATAGTGGCCCCTCTCTGCTCGAGGCACGTGGTTGCGGAAGAAAGCACAGAGCGTGTCTCTGCGCATCCAGGAATTTGGGAGAGTGGCGGCGAGGGTGGTGTTGCAGGGATTTTAAGGAGACGAGTGAGTACCTGGAAACCCAGACCATTTCTTCGTTTCATCCACATGGCTGGTCTCTCCGTGGCCTGCGCAGAGGGCGGTTTTGAGTATAGGAGAGCCTTTCTGTCCTTACAGGACAGCACACCAGCCTTATAAATATGAATGAATTAAAGCGCCCGAGATCTCCCTGAAACAGGTGTCACCCATTCGGTCACTGAGCCCTCCGTCGCTGGAATTCTTTGCCTGTAAGCAGAGAGACTACATTTGCGCGCGTTCGAGGCGAACGAAGCCCCAGGCTCGCGCTCTCCGACGTCTACCTCTCCTGCTCCCCTCTTTCCCCTTCCCTCGCGAGGAAAAACTGGAGTAAGGCTAGGCGGGGTCCGCACTCGTGCGTGGTGACGTCAGCAGTGTTTGGGTGCTTATGCAAATGACACTGCGACCGTTTCTCCCAGTCTGGCCGTTTTTTCTTCCAGGTCTTAAAGGTAGACCCGGTGTTAGTCTGCACCTTCTGCTTGGTTCTCTACGCAGATATCGAGAGGACTGAAGGGTTTGCTGTATGTACTTCATTGGGGTTCCTCATCACCCAGTTTTTAAAGCTGTTTTATGGCTGTCAGTGACCGGTTGCTTTCCTGGGATTCCGGGCACAAAGTGTATGCTTTGGGAAATATAATTTCTGACGAAACAGCTCCACCCAGCTCCTTACCCCACCCAGCCCCATTTCTGCAAGAACGGCGCTGATACAGAATCTTTGTCTTCAGCGATTAGTACTGGGCTTGACTTGTAATCAGTGCTTAACGAGTACTTGATGATGATTGAAGTTTTCTTGAGGAGTACGTGCATTTCTCTCTTTAAGTTTAGAGTATTTGACCATCAGAGTCGTCTTTTTTATTTCTGTGAGGGTGAGTGCCATTTGTTATCCACGTGATGAATGATACATGTATATTTGTTGGAATATTCAACATATTATCCTACCAAATTTTAAATATAATTCATTGATGATTTTTCTCCAAGTGAAGCATTCAATGTATGCTTTTTTTTCTTTCTGAGAAAGGTAGACAATAACACTGTTTTGAAAGGAAGAGACAATCTCTTACTGTTGGCACTTTTTTTTTTCTGATTGCTATTATATAGTTAATTCAAGAATTACTTCTAGTATGTGTAACTTATATGGCATTTTAATGTCATTAATAAAAGTTTTTATACATGTTTCTAGAAAAGGGGTGCTCTATCATTCAGTTGCTAAAGTAAGTAAGAAATACTTCTTTTGTCTGTTCAGGCTGCCATAACAAAAGACCATGAGCTGGGTGGTTTAAAAACAATACGAATTTGTTTCTCATAGTTTTGTAGGCTGAGAAGTCCAAGATCAAGGCACCAACACATTCTTGGTGTTTGATGAGAACCACCTTCCAGATTCATAGATGGTGCCTTCTCATTGTGTTCTTGAATGGTGGAAGGGTCTAGTTAGCTTTCTGGGGTTTCTTTTATTACTTCTCAAAGGACCAAACTCTTAATCGCATGGGTTTAGAATTTCAGCGTATGAATTCTGATGGGGGGGACACAAACATTCAAACCACAGCAAATAGTAAAGAATTTTTAAAATAATTAATAGCTATTCTAAATACTAATAATCAGATGAGATGCCTTTTCAATTATTGAACATTTAAAATAAGTTGGAAGAATTACTAAAACCTAAGTTGTAATTATAAAACCTACATTTGTAATTGATTTACCCAATGATCACAGTTCAAATTTTACTGTGGGCATGTTAGGAAATATTTTTGTCCTGTCATAAAATAAAACTTGTGTATGAATAGGCAAGAAATCTGTATTCTCTGGAACTCTGGGGTTGTCCTCCAAGTAATTAAAAAATGATTGACTTAGAATGATAGACATGAAAGACACCTTGTTGATTATCAAAAGCTCTGAAAACTTAATTCTCAACTCCTTTTACAGAAGATTTTAACTCCTATTACTACATACATATGCATGATTGGATATAATAATATATCCCTATTCAGAGTAGATTTTAAAATAGTGTCTGAGCAGATGGCTTTATTAACAAAAATCATGGGCATAGCCTGATGTATGAAAACATTTAAGGTTACATGGCAGGAATCTTTAGATTTATTTCTAATTTTCTTTTTAACATAAAGCAAGTTCTATCTATTCTTCTTGATATATTTAGTAAATATTAATAAAAACATTTATTTTCTTAAATATTAACTTTGACCAGTAATGATTATTCATATCTCATAGTGAAAAATAAACTGTGTGTACTAGAATGCAGGAAGGTTTTAAATAAATGCACAGTATCACTTGATATATGACAGAGATGTTTTCAGTCTTAAAGATCACTTTATTTCTTTGTGATTAATACATAGGTGTCCTTTCACATAAAATTAATTGATTATTGTCTTTGAGTATAATGCTTAGCCTGGGAGTTTTTCCCTGTTTCAGACTGGCAAAGATCAAAACAATTACTCACTGTGTTGAAGAGGGCAGAGGGAAACAGGCACTATCATGCGTTGCTTGTGGTAGTACAAATTGAGGTAACTTTTATAAAGGGCAGTATTTACCAAAATTATAAAACCATATACATTTTGACCAAGCAGTTCCTTTCCCTGAAATTTATTCTACAGATATGCACATGCCAGGTATACAGAGTTAGTTGCTTAAACATTGAAGCAAATGATAAGAAATGAACTAAATATGTGATGTATCATGAACTGTCATATGTCCTCATTTAAAAAAATTAAAATAAAAAACAAGCTATCGAAAGCAAAAATTTTGGAAGACTTTAAGTGAAAAATCCAGATGGAGAATTATGAATATTAATAACAGTTGTATTAAAAATAGGTTGGGTAGATGAGGAAAAAACACATAGCGCGAATATACATATTAACTTGAATATATACGTATGTGTGGAGAACTTTGTTTACTTATAGGGAGGTATGTGAGGCTATACTGGGGGAAAGAGGTTAGAAGATATTTTCACTCTGTGCCCTTTAATACCATATTACTGTATTACTCAAGTCAAAATATAGACTCAAAATATTCTGAAGTGAAAATAGCAAAAACCCATGGGGAGAACAGTGTTCAGACATGAGATGCTACTAAATGAGATGATTATAGTGGAAAGGTAGGTATTTTGGTTCCATGATTGTAGTTTCTGAATTTACAGGAATGTTTCCTTTCAACATTCTTAGTCATAAAATTATGTTACAGCAGCAAATGGGATCTTATGTGCCCTTTAGTCATTTTTCTGCCAATGTAACACCTATTAGAATATTGACATTGATAGAATCGAATTACTGAACTGTCCCGTCATTATAAGGATTACTCTTTTGCCCCAACACCTCAACTCCTGCTAATCAATAATCTGTTCTTCATCTTTATTATTTTGTCATTTCAAGAATGTTACAGAAATGGAGCCATAGAAAATGCAGACTTTTAGACCTGGCTTTTTCCACTCAGCATAATTATCTGTAGATTCATCCAAGTTTTGTGTATCAGTAGTTTATTTGTTTTTATTTCTGAGTACTACTCCAAGGTATGGATTTACCAGAATTTGCTTAAGCATTCATCCAGTGAATGACATCTGGGTTGTTTCCAGTTTAGGGTTATTATTAACAAAGCTGCTTTGGACACTCACAGGTTTTATGGAACACAAGCTTTCACATCTCCAGGATAAATGCCCAGGAGTGTAGTTGCTGGGTTATATGGTAATGGCATGTTCTTGAGAGCTGTACCATTTTACATTCTCATCACTTATGTATGAATGATCCAGTTTCTCTGCCTCTGTGCCAGAATTTGGTTGTTACTATATTTTAGTCATTCCGATAGGTATGTGACATCTCACTGTAGTTCTAATTAGCATTTCCCTGATGGTTAATAATGTCAAGCCTCATTTCATGTACTCATTTGCCATCTAGACATACTCAGTGAAAATGACCCCTTATGTCCTCTGTTCATTTTCTAAATTATTTTTAATCACTGAGTTTTATTTTATTTATAGATCCTAAATACTTTTTCTCCACTGTGTGGTCTGCAAATACATTTTCTGTCTTTAGCTTATTTTTTCAGCCTTTTAATAGGTTCTTTCACAAAGGAAAATGTTTTTAATTTCCAAGTCCTCTTTACCAATTTTTGCTTTAATGAATTCTGCTTTTAGTGTCATGTCTAAGAACTATTTTCTTATCTCTAACTCTCAAAGGTTTTCCTCAATGATTCCTTTTTAAAAGTTGTGTAGTTTGATATTTTATATTTAAGTCTATCATCCATT